TTGATCCAGCCGGTGCCGCGGCTCACTAGGCTAATCCTCCGCCTTGCGGCGCCAGCACACCGGGTTCTAGTCCCGGTCGGGGCGCCGGATTCTGTCCCGGTTGCCCCTCTTCCAGGCCAGCTCTCTGCTTTGACCAGGGAGTGCAGTGGAGGATGGCCCAAGTGCTTGGGCCCTGCACCCCATGGGAGACCAGGAGAAGCACCTGGCTCCTGCCATCGGATCAGTGCAGTGCGCTGGCCGCAGCGTACCTGCCACGGCGGCCACTGGAGGGTGAACCAACGGCAAAGGAAGACCTTTCTCTCTGTCTCTCTCTCTCACTGTGCACCCTGCCTGTCAAAAAAAAAAAAAATCTTTTGATCCATATATCCTCAGACACATTCAAAATACGCAGAAGAGAATACAATGAGAACACAATTCCCCTGCACACCTGTCCCAACGTGTGCCCCGCCTCCCACCTGAGACAGTCCCTGACTGGAGAAATGGCAGATTCTGGGACTGGGGTGGGAAATGCCCAAGCTGACTCTGTGGCACCCTGTGATGCCAAGTGAATGGAAACACTCAAAACGCCCCCCGACCTCCTCTCTGTCACACGTGGGGAAAACGCCCTCCGACCTCCTGCTCCGTCACACGTGGGGAAAACGCCCCCCGACCTCCTGCTCCGTCACACGTGGGGAAAACGCCCCCCGACCTCCTGCTCCGTCACACGTGGGGGAAAATGCCCCCCGACCTCCTGCTCTGTCACACGTGGGGAAAACGCCCCCGACCTCCTGCTCCGTCACACGTGGGGAAAACGTCCCCCGACCTCCTGCTCCTTCACACGTGGGGGACAACGCCCCCCCGACCTCCTGCTCCGTCACACGTGGGGGAAAACGCCCCCCGACCTCCTCTCTGTCACACGTGGGGGAAAACGCCCTCCGACCTCCTGCTCCGTCACACGTGGGGAAAACGCCCCCCGACCTCCTGCTCCGTCACACGTGGGGAAAACGCCCTCCGACCTCCTGCTCCGTCACACGTGGGGAAAACGCCCCCCGACCTCCTGCTCCGTCACACGTGGGGGAAAATGCCTCCCGACCTCCTGCTCTGTCACACGTGGGGAAAACGCCCCCCGACCTCCTGCTCCGTCACACGTGGGGAAAACGCCCCCCGACCTCCTGCTCCGTCACACGTGGGGAAAACGCCCCCCGACCTCCTGCTCCGTCACACGTGGGGAAAACGCCCCCCGACCTCCTGCTCCGTCACACGTGGGGGAAAATGCCCCCCGACCTCCTGCTCTGTCACACGTGGGGAAAACGCCCCCGACCTCCTGCTCCGTCACACGTGGGGAAAACGTCCCCCGACCTCCTGCTCCTTCACACGTGGGGGACAACGCCCCCCCGACCTCCTGCTCCGTCACACGTGGGGGAAAATGCCCCCCGACCTCCTCTCTGTCACACGTGGGGGAAAACGCCCTCCGACCTCCTGCTCCGTCACACGTGGGGAAAACGCCCCCCGACCTCCTGCTGTGTCACACGTGGGGAAAACGCCCCCCGACCTCCTGCTCCGTCACACGTGGGGAAAACGCCCCCCGACCTCCTGCTCCGTCACACGTGGGGGAAAACGCCCCCCGACCTCCTGCTCTGTCACACGTGGGGAAAACGCCCCCGACCTCCTGCTCCGTCACACGTGGGGAAAACGTCCCCCGACCTCCTGCTCCTTCACACGTGGGGGACAACGCCCCCCCGACCTCCTGCTCCGTCACACGTGGGGGAAAACGCCCCCCGACCTCCTCTCTGTCACACGTGGGGGAAAACGCCCTCCGACCTCCTGCTCCGTCACACGTGGGGAAAACGCCCCCCGACCTCCTGCTCCGTCACACGTGGGGAAAACGCCCCCCGACCTCCTGCTCCGTCACACGTGGGGAAAACGCCCCCCGACCTCCTGCTGTGTCACACGTGGGGAAAACGCCCCCCGACCTCCTCTCTGTCACACGTGGGGGAAAACGCCCTCCGACCTCCTGCTCCGTCACACGTGGAGGAAAACGCTCCCCGACCTCCTGCTGTGTCACACGTGGGGGAAAACGCCCCCCGACCTCCTGCTGTGTCACACGTGGGGGAAAACGCCCCCCGACCTCCTGCTGTGTCATACACGCAGGGACGTGGAAGGAACACAGGAGCCCCAGCCATCTCAGCAAGGAAGTTCAATGTCTTGAATTCCGGGGTCGACACCATGGCTCACTTGGTTGATCCTCCACCTGCGGCACCAGCATCCCACATGGATGCCGGTTCTAGTCCCGGCTGCTCCTCTTCCAGTCCATCTCTCTGCTGTGGCCCGGGAGTGCAGCGGAGGATGGCCTAGGTGCTTGGGCGCCTGCACCCGCATGGGAGACCAGGAGGAAGCACCTGGCTCCTGGCTTCAGATAGGCGCAGCACCAGCCATGGAGGCCATTTGGGGGGTGAACCAACAGAAGGAAGACCTTTCTCTCTGTCTCTCTCTCACTGTCTATAACTCTAGCTGTCAAAAATAATTTTAGAAAATGTCTTAAATTCCTCTCATGGGCTGGGAGAAACCATTCAGATCTGGCTACTAAAGACTTTTAACTCAAACTTGCCCCTCAATGTTTCTGCTTGTCATGGGGCAAGGAAAAATAGTCTTAAAGGTGGTTTAGCATCTGACTATCAAAAAAGGGAAGCCGGCGCCGCGGCTCACTAGGCTAATCCTCCGCCTAGCGGCACCGGCACACCGGGTTCTAGTCCCAGTTGGGGCGCCGGATTCTGTCCCGGTTGCCCCTCTTCCAGGCCAGCCCTCTGCTGTGGCCAGGGAGTGCAGTGGAGGATGGCCCAGGTGCTTGGGCCCTGCACCCCATGGGAGACCAGGAAAAGCACCTGGCTCCTGGCTCCTGCCATCGGATCAGCGCGGTGCGCCGGCCGCAGCGCGCCGGCCGCGGCGGCCATTGGAGGGTGAACCAACGGCAAAGGAAGACCTTTCTCTCTGTCTCTCTCTCTCACTGTCCACTCTGCCTGTCAAAAAAAAAAAAAAAAAAAGGGAGATCAGATATAGGGGCAGGTGTTGTGGTGCAGTGGGTTAAGCCACTGCTTGGGACAGTGACATCTACCTCCCATATCAGAGTGCTGGTTCTAGCCCTGGTTCCTCCGTGCTTCTGATCCAGCTTCCTGGCAATGCATCTGGGAGACAGCAGATGATGGCTCAAGTACTGGGGTCCCTGCTACCCACAGAGGAGGCCCAGCTGCAGTTTCTGACCTTGGCTTTGGCCTGGCCCAGTTCTGGCTTTCGCGTGCATTTGTAGAGAGAACCAGCAGATGAAGACAAATCTCTCTCTCTCTCTTTCACTAAGTCACTTTGCCTTTCAAACAAATACACACATCCTTTTTCACAAAAAAAAAAAAAAAAAGCGAGATTCAATCCACACAATGTGAATCACTTCTATGAATTACATTATAAACTGGAAAGTTACCTAGGAAAATCCAAGCTTCCTAACAATGTTTCTGTCCGATTCAGCTTCTTCCAACTCCCTAAGGCTTCCCTGGAACACTGAGAGGCATCCACAAGTAGATAAAGTGAAGTCACAGAGGGACAGGAAACTGTGGTGCTGGTGCTCAGTACAGTCCCTGTGGAGGGTGAAAGCTCTCACCACACCAAGCCAAACACAGTAAGATCTGTCAGGCATTACAGCAGCAATTCTGACTGACAGTGATCTTGGCCCTGGGTTTCATGGGAAGACCCACGACTTCTTTCCTGGAAATTCAACCTTAACAAAACCATGGCTCTGCCAGTCCTGCCAGGGTGGAGGGCTGAGCCTTGGGACACCAGATGCTTCAACACACACTCATAGTCTTTGACAGTGGATGAAACTCAAGGTTCAGTTGGTAGAGCCCCAGAAGAGATGAGGAGAACCCCTCAGCACCATAATAAAACAGTCCACATGAGCACTTTCATATGTTGTCCTCGGCCTTCTAAGATTTTCTGTTTGTACAAAAGGGGCTATAAGTGGAAATGACACAGGTCTAATCAATTTGTTACATTTCCGACAAGAACTCTCCAGCCTAACTTTACAGAAAAAATTGCAAATGCCAAAAAGGATCCATTTTCAGCATAAACATTACATGTCTCTCTCTTCTCTCTCTCTCTCTCTCTCTCACGCACACACACACACACACACAGGGAGATTCAAAAATAAACTGCATCTCACATCATAATTCAGGAGTGGAATTGGACAGAGTGAGGTGACAGACACTGACACTACACGGAAGGAACACAAGGACCTTGAAAAGGCCAGGAAGACAGACACCTGAGGCCTGCACCCAGTCTCAGCCCTGGCTGGAGGCCAGCCTACTTGGTGAAGGTGCACGGACATGGGAGAAACCAGCTGTCCCCAGCCTCATGGAAGACACAGGGTGCCTACAGAGTATGCACTCAGCAGGCATAGCCACAAACACCCTGAGTCTTTGCCTTCCACGTTATCCATTCATCACCCCTCTCTTACAACACAGAATCTACATCAGATCTCTCCCACAAATCAACTATCAAAAACAGAGTCGTGGACAAAAGCAGAAAACAAGGAACTTTAAAAGCAGTATTAGACGAGTTTAGGGCTTGAAGTGTGGAGGGAAGGGAACCTGAGATACAATTTGCACTGCACGTCTCTAAGGCAGAGAGACGGTGTCCGGGCCAGCAAGCAGACCCTCCCGCTGAGGGTCATTAGACCAACTCCACCACGCGCTCTCCTTCCTCTGGCCCTGCACTCAGTCGTCAGAGTTTCCAGTACACCTGGCTAGGGGCGGCTTCCTTCTGGAAATACTCATGAGTTCAGACGTTAGACAGAGCTAGTTTGGGTTGAGCAATCACTGCCAGATGCCACACATCACGGTCTCAGGTCTTCGGGCATGTGAGAGTATCTTAGGGTGTGAAGAAAGACAACGGGTTGAGTTCTCCTTTCCCAACGTCTATACCACCGTGGGTAGTCCACTGTGTTGGTTAAAACTAGTAAAACAAAGTACAAATACCTGATCGAGCAATGCCACTGTCCCGGTCTTCATTCTGCCCTCGGCTCGGCATATCGACAGGTGTGCTGTGAGCTGGGAGAAAGGTAAGAGAATCTAGGTTATTGAGGTCTCCAAAGACAACAAGCTTTTAAAAACGAGTGCGTTTTATATGTCAGAGTAGGCTACTGCTACTGATGGTCACATGTAGGGATTCACCAGGAAGCAAAATTCAATTCATAAGAAGATGATGAGAAAATGGAACCAATTAACTATGTATCTTTGTCCTACTGGAGCATATGAAGTTCCCTCAGGGTACTCAACTGCTAAAAAAAGTTATTTTGAATTCAAAATGAATCTTAATGGAGAATGGGATTGGCAAGGGGAGAGGGAGGGGGTGGAGGGGTGGGAGGGATGATATGGTGGGAAGAATAAACTATATACCTGAAGTTGTACCAATGAAATGTGTATTCCTTAAAAAATAAATAAATGTGATACAATCCTACCACTTAAGTTATTTTGAATAATAAACTATTCCTGCAGTTAATATAATCAGTATTATAATATAATATAATCAGTAATATAGTCAGTATCTCAGGCAGATATTCCCACCCATTCTCTTCACTGCTAGTATTATTTATTTACCATCGTAACTTCAAAATGCTCCATAGTCACTTTCAGTAGTGACTGTAAACAACTTAGGGAAGAGAAATACTTGAAAACCATTTCATAAATTCAGAAAATGTTTCTGCTTATATCCCACTCTCTTGGCAGACAGAAAACACTTCATTTTCAAATATTTCTTCCTCCACTTCTTTCCCCTAAACACTCATACACAGTATTATTGTACAGCGATTTAGGAAAACTTGTGTCCTGGGATGAATTTTTGGAAAATAAAGCATTGCAGACTTCTAGGAATGCATTTCGCTGGTCTGAGCTGTGAAGGTAGATGAAACGCTGTTAAGTTGTATAAGGTACAAGAAGGCTAGTGTCCTGCCTGATTGATACACTTGCCAGCTACTTCTTGAAGCATGCTTATCTTCACAATTTTAAAGAGTCTATAAACATGCTATCTTCACTCTAAGTCAGTTTCACTAGGGTATCATTTAACAATAGAACGTGGTGTTTTTCAGCCTACAAAGAAGAACAGAGTAAAAAGTACCATCTCACAAACACCCTTCCAAGTTAGTAATGGCGGTTCCCGACACGTGTTAGCCATGCCAAGACTACAACATTCAACAGCCTTAGTTAGCCAAGTTGGTTAAATCTCAGAATTCACCCCAAGATCTCAAGATGACCCACACCTGTAAAGAACCTAGAGACTGCATTTCGATCGCTAAAATACAAGCGGGACAGAGCGAGCGCAAGCGCACCGTCTTCCATGCTTTCATTACGTGACTTTTACACTCCATGCAGGTTAAGGATGCCGGTGAGCAAACAGATTAAAGATACCATGACAAAGTGAATCAGTCCATAGCCGCAAACAGGGGTCCAGGAAAATCAGAAAAAAATAATCCTCTTAGAAACACGAAGGGCTCGTTTCGGATTACAGTCAGCTGACACTGGGGTATTAACGGAGACATTTATAACATCGGTTTGCAGGTGGAATTTTCAGAACACCATGCATTTGGCTACATTCGAAACCAATCTCTTATCACAAGAGCCCCTTGGATTTCTAGAGAGGTACAAATGGGATTTTTCCCAAGAACCTGTGCAGACAGGATTGATTAACGTGTGTGAGTCACGCTGCACTCGGCATTCCACACAAACCTGCAAAGAAAGAAGCACTCCGGGTGAGCCGGAGGGGTCCTCCTTCAGCCACCCCTTGCAGCAGCCTGCTGCTGCACGCCTGCAGCAGACCTAGAGGCAGAACACACAAGACGGCACACACACACACACACACACACACACAGGTTAAATATAGGGCAAAAAAAAATTAGAACACAACAAACTAAAATAAAGCGAGACACACACCCACATAGTACTACTCAGAAAGAACTCATTTTTCCCCCTTTACCTAGGTTACTTGCATTGCGACAAGGACCCACACTGTTCTGATTTGCGTTCAGTTTTCCCAAATTAGGATCTTGGTTGATGTATTCGAAGCTGTCTTGCAAGCTAAATCCAGAGACGGAGAGGGAGAGAAAAAAGGGGGAGAAAAAAAGAGAGGCAAATAAAGCTGTTTTCTATTAGACTTCCACATGTAGACAACAACTGATCAGTCACACTCAATGCATTTCTTTATGAATAAATCAAGTCGCACATCTACCAAAGGGAATCGAATTGGCAACTAGAGGGGAATCTGCTTCAGGCAAATGAAAGCTTTTTGGAAGTAGCCCAGTCCACACAACTGAACACTGCATCCCTACCACCGCCACGTTACAGAAGCAGACACCGAACCCCAGTGTGTGCTTCAGAGACTGGCGCCCAGGGAGCTGCTATGCATTTCTTTAGCAACTGACACCCAAGACGTTGCGACTCATTTGGAAGGTTTTACATAAAACCCTTGAAATGAAATTAATTTTAACTCTTAGTTAACATTTATGAATAATTCAGCAAGATTTTTTCAGGGGGAAGAGAGAACAGAATTTTTGATTCCTACAGGAGGTGGAGTTCACAACTTCTAGAAACTTAGAATTGTTCATACCAAATAAGAGGGACGCGGCTTTAATAATCTATTACATCTTTTTAACAAGAATGTAAGCACTGGGGCCAGTGCCATGGCATCCCATATGGGCGCCAGTTTGAGTCCCAGCTGCTCCACTTCCGTTCCAGCTCTCTGCTATGGCCTGGGAAAGCAGTAGAAGATGGCACAAGTCTTTGGGCCCCTGCACCCATGTGGGAGACCCAGAAGAAGCTCCTGGCTCCAGATCAGCCCAGCCCCAGCCATTGTAGCCATTTGGGGAGTGAACCAGCAGATGGAAAATCGCTCTCAATCTCCCACCCCCCTGCCGCCTCTACTTCTCTGTAACTTTGCCTTTCAAATCATTAAATAAATTTTTTAAAAGAAATGAAAAGAAGCATCAAAACTTTGAGGATAACACAGCAGAATAAAACCAAAATGACTTTCACTCATAGTTAGTGCAATAAATAGTCAGGTAAGCCCAAGGATCTGAAAAACAAATGTCTCACAAGAAACAAACACCAATTCTCATACTAGTTTGAGTCATGACAATCCAATCAAAGGCTCAAATCATTTTGTTGAAGAGTAAGCAAAGATTTACTCTCTGGTATTTAGATATACAGAGGAATATATTTTTAATTCCCTGGGATTATAAAAGAATAAAAGCATTCATTTGATCACTAAGAACATCCCTAAATTTACAACAAGCTTTTCTTTCAAATCTATGAAATAACAAATACTTCATTGTTTTATTAAAAAACTATATGAACTATGTCTACCTGAAAGTTCAAAACATATGAAAAAATGTGCCAAAGTCAGAGTGTAAGCTAGATATTTCAGTACTCTTGGTCTATGCAGGATAAAACTAGAGAGGGGAAATCAAGAATGAAAATCAAAAATATTCCGTGGTCATAATACCAGGCATTACAAAAGGTAAAGTGAGCACTCAGAATAGACAGCAAGCATAGACAACTGACCCCGCCATGCAGGGCCTACCAGCCTGTATGTCAATCCTCCAGAAATGAGTGAAGGAGACTTTTGTCCTTTTCTTTTCAGAAAGATCTACTTATTTATTTATTTATTTGAAAGGCAGAGCGACAGAAAGAGAGGGCCACGGGAAGACAGACACACACACACACAGAGACCTCCCAGCCACTGGCCCACTCCCCCAGTGGCCACAGATGCTTTGGCCACCGCCGTCTGACTTCCATCAGCAGGAAGCTGGATCAGAAGCAGAGCAGCCAGGACTCGGACGCCAGCGCTGCTGGCAGCACTAACTTAGTGCTGGCTCCTAACTGAGTGGAAGACCTTTCCCCACGCACTGGTCACAGGGCAACGGCCACTTCTACGGCGTTTCATGAACTTGGATTCGTCCTGTTCCCCATTTCAGAACGCCTCACGGCCCTCCCAGAACCACGCCGACAGTGGTGAGGATGAAGAGGAGGCAGTGCCAAAGCCCTCACTCACTTATTCGTGCTCCCACAGAAGCTGCCCATCCTGGCGGAGAAGACTTTACTGATCATCAGCTGTGGAGGAGACCTGAGGAGGGGGACCAAGACGAGAGAAACGCGTTTTTGAATTCCGGAGTCAGTGCCACCACTCCACTTCTCACGTCGGGTACGGAAGGACACGCAAACTCACCGTATGTAGTGTATCTTTAAGGTGGATCCTTTGTAACTCATTGCCACAGAGCCAAACATCATTTCCCCCAGCATGTTGACATCTGAAGCCGGTCTTGTGTACTGCACGGCAGAAACCAGGATCAGTCAGCGCATGGGACAACACGAGGCGCGTTGCAACAGAAAACAATTCTGATTCATCTCTGGCTCCCTCTTTGGTTTAGTGACTAATTACAGCTATTTCTCAAAGCTGCCATTGGTCACCTTACCATCATAACCCAGAATGGTGACTGCCTGTATTTTCCCCAAAATGATTAGTAATGATCATGCCCCCTGTTTTATACACAGTACTTCTATACAGGATCCATTTTTAATGTTGTTATGAGAAAAAAGGAGTATCATTATCTCCATTTGTAAACCCTAAATACATTATATTAGGAAAGGAACAGGTGAGTCCTCTCCACCTCCTAAAAAGAAATCTGGTCTGGTATCTTTCAACCAAGTCATTAACAGTGTTGCTCAAAAATGCCAACTGGTGCAGGCAGAGTTTTTACAGAGTCCAAAGGATAACAGATGGTCAGCTAGCTCTCAGGTTCTACAAAATATTTCAGAAGCCCCTGACACCTGCAACTTCTAACCAGCCTTTCTCATCCCAAAGGGTGCACGGCCCTGGGCTGCTTCCACCTTCTCTCCCTCTCACAGTGTTCATCTACGGTACCTGATGCTCTGTCTACTCCAACTGCTATCCAAGGACCGTCTTCTGTCAAATCCAATGCACACTCGCTGGTTTCTCTTGTCAAACTTCCCCACCCATTTCAGGCTGCTGGCTAAACTACTTTTTTTTGAATCCCTTCTTTCTCACCTAATTCCTTCAGCACGGCTGTTCCGTGGAGGGTATTCCTACTCACTGCCTGCATTTTGACCCTTTCTTCAGCCTGATTACTAGCCACAGCCCCGACATCTACATCTGAAGGCCCAGACCTCTCCTTGAACTCTCGATTCCTATATCCCAATGCATTCATTCGCGGCCGGCACACCGCGCTGATCCGATGGCAGGAGCCAGGTGCTTCTCCTGGTCTCCCATGGGGTGCAGGGCCCAAGCACTTGGGCCATCCTCCACTGCACTCCCGGGCCACAGCAGAGAACTGGCCTGGAAGAGGGGCAACCGGGACAGAATCCGGCGCCCTGACCGGGACTAGAACCCGGTGTGCCGGCGCAGCTAGGCGGAGGACTAGCCTATTGAGTCGCGGCGCCGGCCCAGCAATCATCCTTAACACTCTTCTCAATCTTTATTTTTTTTTTAATTCCAAATATGGACATATATATTTATATATGCACAGAGTACACATACACTGATACATACATGATATACACATGAGAATACTTCAAAAAGTTCATGGGAAACTGAATTAAAAGATAAGTTGGTGGCATAGAGGTTAAAGCTGCCACCTGCAGTGCTGGCATCCCATATGGGCACCGGTTCTAGTCCTGGCTGCTCCTTTTCTGATCCATCTCTCTGCTATGGCCTGGGAAAGCAGTAGAAGATGGCTCAAGTCCCTGGGCCCCTGCACCTGTGTGGGAGACCCAGAAGAAGCTCCTGGCTTCTGGCTTTGGATCGGCACAGCTCTAGCCATTGTGGCCAATTGGGGAGTGAACCAGTGGATGGAAGACCTCTCTCTGCCTCTCCTTTCTTCTGTGTAATTCTTTCAAGTAAATAAATATTTTAGAGCCGGCGCCGTGGCTCAATAGGCTAATCCTCCACCTTGCGGCGCCGGCACACCGGGTTCTAGTCCCGGTTGGGGCGCCGGATTCTGTCCCGGTTGCCCCTCTTCCAGGCCAGCTCTCTGCTATGGCCAGGGAGTGCAGTGGAGGATGGCCCAGGTGCTTGGGCCCTGCACCCCATGGGAGACCAGGAAAAGCAACTGGCTCCTGGCTCCTGCCAGGATCAGCGCGGTGCGCCGGCTGCAGCGGCGGCCATTGGAGGGTGAACCAACGGCAAAGGAAGACCTTTCTCTCTCTGTCTCTCTCTCACTGTCCACTCTGCCTGTCAAAAAAAAAAAAAAATAAATAAATAAATAAATAAATAAATAAATATTTTAAAAAAGTTGATTTTAGTCGCAAAAAAAATTAAATACATGCATTTGAGTGCTGTTTTAAAAATTCATGAAAAATGCATATTATGAAAAAAAATTTACATGGATTTCGAAATCTTTTTGCAAAGTAAATTTATCTTTTGATTTTAATTCTATTGTTTTCAATTATTCTTGTGTACACCTAGTTATGTGTGGTTGCAGAAGAGGAAAGACAGAGATGAATCTGTCAGCCTTGTTCAACCAGGCTCACATTAAGTTCTTCCCACTACATTCACAGAGAAACCCACTGGGTTTCACATTCTTTATAAGTAACTTCCATCCACCTCCTCCATTTTATAATCTGCTTTTCTTGGGGTACAAGAGCCATGTGCAAACTGTGATTCTCAACTAGCTGAAAATTTTAATCCATATTTTAAAAAAAATTAATTTATCTTAGAGAGCTAATTTTCATCTACTGACCCACTCTCCAAATACTCTCAACTGCCAAGGGTTGAAGCCAGGAGTCAGGAACTCAACCCAGGTCTCCCATGTGGGTGGCAGGAACCCAGTCACTTCAGGCGTCACCACAGCTTCCCAGTGGGTCTGCATCAGTGGGAAGCTGGAGTCAGGAGGCAGAGCTGGGTAGCAGACCTAGGCACTCCACTGTGGGTGCAGCCACCTTTAACCACTGGGCTTATACTTTTGTTTAGCTACAAACGGCTTTGAGACCCAGAAGCACTGTGAAGTAAGGACAAATGCACGACACAAACCCTGACTGTGAAGGTGGCAAAGTCCTGCTAACACTGCTGCTGGTGACTGCTCCGCTCCGCCCTTCCAGCGGCACGGCAGAGAAGGTTGCATGCGGATTTTTAAAAGTGGTCCGACACACAGCCCCTAGCGAGTCTGATACATTCCCCATCTGCCGCTCAGTATTTACAAGACGCTCTCCCTTCTATCCGGCTGTCCAGAACTTCTCAATCACCTTATTCCCTATCCTCTGCTGCCTCAAACACCCGCCTCCCACCGCCACACACACAACAGCAGTAGCCCTCCACCCTTCACGCTCAAGGTAGGTCTCGCCTCTCCCTCGGTGCTCCCTGCTTTTGGTATGCTCTGTTTTGAGGGGCTGCCCAAGTACAGCGCCAGAATCCTCACAAGTCCTTGCAAACAGAATTACGTCTGTATTATCCTGGACCGCACAAAGGAAACAGAACAAGATGATCTGCCTCGTTGGCAGCACTTCTTCCTCATTCCTGCGCATTCTACTTTATCAGCGGAGTTTCAGCACAGGGAGATAAAAGGCCAAGAGGGGAAAGTGCACTGGCACAAAGCGTTCAAGGGTCCTCTGCAGAGCGCTTGCTCTCGGAACCCTGGAGCAGCCCTCCGGCAGGCACCATTCCCCGGGGAAACCCTCCAGGACGGTCCCTCGACTCCCGTGGGTACTCCCGTGAAGGGGAGGTTTTACCTGATACTTTGGAAGCTGCTCCCTGGCGTGTGGTAGAGAGCCCCCGGAGGAGGAGCCATGGGAAGAGACGCTGCCGCTGCCGCTGCCGCCGCTGCCGCTGCCCTGACAGCACCTGGCTGACACTTTCACAGGGACATCCTCTGCTTTCTGGGTAGGGAGACACCAGCAGGGCCAAGGATCACGAAGGATTCCAGGCTCTGTCGACATGTTCCTCGTGGGGAAGTGCCCGGTTAAAACATCCCTGTGCCTGTGGGGCAACACAAACGACGCTTTCCCCTTTCTTTCTAATGATGACAAGGGCGTGAGAGGCAGAGGGAGAGGGCGCGAGAGACCATAATACCTAGGAAGCGGGTGGGGGCTCGCAACGAGGGGTAACAGAAAACTGGTAGAGAGGAATGTATTTAGATGTTATTTTCCTCAAATCATTTTTATTTCAAATCACATTTTAAAAATCAATGGTAACCGGCCGGTGCCGCAGCTCACTAGGCTAATCCTCCGCCTAGCGGCGCCGGCACACCGGGTTCTAGTCCCGGTCGGGGCGCCGGATTCTGTCCCGGTTGCCCCTCTTCCAGGCCAGCTCTCTGCTGTGGCCCGGGAGTGCAGTGGAGGATGGCCCAGGTGCTTGGGCCCTGCACCCCATGGGAGACCAGGAAAAGCACCTGGCTCCTGGCTCCTGCCATCGGATCAGCGCGGTGCGCCGGCCGCAGCGCGCCGGCTGCGGCGGCCATTGGAGGGTGAACCAACGGCAAAGGAAGACCTTTCTCTCTCTTTCTCACTGTCCACTCTGCCTGTCAAAAAAAAAAAAAAAAATCAATGGTAACCGATCATTTTGGTTATTAGATTTCTAGCACCACGTAGCGTCACAATGGATGAAACTGATGAGGAGGAAGACAACAGTTCAAACACCTTTCTACCCAGCACATGGAACTGGAATACAGGACGACTGATTTACACAGAGCAGGCGTGAGCTCTCAGCGACCCGCCTCTTCTAGTACTCCTCTGAAGGCGACAGGAGAGAAAATCACAAGGTTGAATTTGTGAAAGGTGAAGCCCAAATCCTGAAATAGGAGCTCCTGTGAACTGCCCAGCATGTGATGGAAAAGCAGGCTTGAAAGGTTGGGGGTAAGAGAGGATAATCGACTTCACGGTCCCTACGCGGGTTCACTGCCGGTTTTTATGACAGGGACATGAAGGTATAAAGATATGCCCTATTGCTTTCCCTTCATCCTGCACCAGAGGCTGTTACAGAAGCACCCTGCACCCTTATGCGAAGTCGCTTCTATTCTAAGTCTTCTCAGCCTCTCTTTTTCTCCCTTGGGCGGTTTTGCTTGCAAAAGCAAGAATGCAGTGGCAGCTTATCTAATCTCCAGTGTGACAGTCACACTGGTGGTCTGATGCAAATGCCTGCAGTCATGTGCCCGACACAAACTCATGACGTTTTGTGCTTGCCAAGGGGGAGTGGGGGGACTGAAAATGGGGGGAAGAACGTCAGGAAAATACGAAACGCGCTGGTCCACAGCACTGCCTCCTGCAAGGACGGCTCCGGAGCACCCAGCACTCCCTCAGCACCCTCTTCCGCTCTCGCTGCTGCTTCACACCACTTCAGTCAGGGCGCCTGCTCCAGACACTGCAGGACCCTTTGGCTGCAGCACGGTGCACTGACCAATCTGTCACTGGAGACGGCACCCGCAAGCGCGCGCAGAGGCTGCCGGGTTCCGCTTTGGGTGAAATGCGTGTCCCGGCTTCACCAAGTTGCCTTTATGATGAAGCCCATGTCCCAGGGTCACTGCTCCCACACACTGAAGATTCCAGTTCCCTTTGAACACCAACGAGAATGTTCCCTCCCACCTGCCACCACCATTAGTAGCTCCAGTGATGGCATGTGGCTGCCTAACTAACCCCTCTGTGTGAAGCCTTCAGGGAAATCAAGTGGCAGCCACCTTCTGTCCACCCAACAGGGCCAAGTGCTGGCTCACCTGAGCTTTTGATACAAATCTCCCACTAAAACCCACGGTGAATCACCTGAGAGAGTCCCACCCCCACCTGTGCCCAACAGCTACTGTAATCATTAGCCACCTGGCAGAGTTCCACTGTAGAGTACTGTGGAATCTACCTAGCTGGACCGCCTTTAACCAAACACTTCCTTCCTGCAGAAGTGATCTTTATCCAAGGCAGGAAAGCAGCCCCTGGGCCCTGCTGACACAAAACCCGTGTCAGAAACTGTTCATTTGCTTGGCTGCGCACCCTACACACTGCCAGGATCTGCTCAGCATGGACAGCCATTTACTGAACGTAAGAGTGAGTGCAAATGAACGTATTTAAAGTGTGAGCATCTCAACAGATAGACCAGAGAGGGTGGCAAAGTACTCTGAATTGTCATCCTGAAAGACTCAGGGAGGACCCGACGCTTCCGACGTTAAGCAGGCGACTTCACCTTTCCTGTCCTGGCTCCGCGGGGTGGAGGGCTCACTCCCCCTCAGCCTGGTCCACACACACCCCAGCGCACCCCACCCTCACCCCTGCTCCACAGAAAAGGGAAATGAGGAGTGGCTTTGGTCAGGCAGGTCTGACATGACTACGCACGTTAGTATGTCGAAGCCCGGTAACAAGTAAAGCTAGTCAGTTCTGTTGAGTCCAGTACCCTGTAACCTCTGAGTGTCGACAAGGAACACTGGACAGGAGGACGCCTCCACTGCCCAGCGGCCAGCACTTTCTCACCTGTGGAGCTTAAGGCTTCCGTCTTCCTGTGACGCTTCACGCGCACGCTTGCATCAAAGTCCTCCTGCCTTGCACATCGCCGGCAAACTCGTTTTGGGTGATATTAATAGCACCACCATGAGCTCTGGCTAGCAGCTCTGCCTATGTTTACTAAGGAGCACACACAAGCCTGGCAAGAACAGGGGCTGCGGGCCTCACTCGGGCTTTTTCTGAACCAGCGATGGCCAAGTCCAGTACAGCTCAGAGAGAGAACTGAGTCAACAGGTGACGGCTCCCAGAGGTGGCTAAAGGCAGAAATCGGAAAGCTCAGAGCTAGTCAGCATTTCATACCTGAGCTGCTCCCTCTTCAACCTTCTGAACAGCTTTAGAATCGAACAGGACTTGTCTGCCCCTTCTCTCACAATCCTGGTAAACTATCAGGCGGGTCTCTTTCAGGTCAAACTCCGAGCACGACCAACTGTGGGTTAAAAAGAGAAAAAAATATATCGTTATCTGCAATATTCAGAATGATCGTGGAGAGATGCGCTTCTCGACCCACCTGCCCGTGTGCATGGCAGAAGACTGGAAGTGTGAAGTCGCCATCCCCCTCAAACCTGGGGCAGCTAGCAAGTCTGGGACACACAGGCCCTCAGCACACGAAAAACTGCACACTGCCAGTTTTCACTACAAAGGTGTGGAGGACTGCTCTAACTAATAAATCACCAGAGAAAGCTTCTCCTTCCAAAGCCAGCTTGGGCACAGATGGCAGCCAGGAACTGCAAGAACATGCAGGGAGGGCTAAATTTGGATGCCTGGGTTCTGAGGATGGCATGGCAGAGCTGAAAGAGGGCTCAAGCTTCCGTGTCACGGGGCAGGGAACCATGTGGAGCAGGCCTTCTCTCTCTCTCTCCTACCTGCCCAGACCAGGTCCAGCTGAGCGGGGTTGCATAGCCTGAAATTTATTATGTTTCCCCACAATGGCTAATTCTGATACAGAGGTTTCAAAAACCAAGTGCATTGTCGTATGGCATCTGAGGTTCTAGGAACTGTACTTGGCAATGAAAGAAGTCTGGCATACTCGTAAGCAAACCAAAAGCTAAGAGAACAAAACTGCTCTGAAGAAAACAGGTTAATTCTTGAGTAATAAATGACATCAGAGGGAACTATAAAAAAGTAAGCCTCTAAAGTGTATGCTTTGTGTATACTCAGTTATTAATGCACTAATTCAACAGATGTTTGCACTCTAATTATGTTCCAGACACTGGTACATGTAGAGATTCAGTACCTAATTACCAAACAGATTGGGTCCTTGCCCTCATAGAGTTCACGGTTTTATGGGGGAACATTTGGGGAATAATCATATATAATCATATATAAATGTTCAACTGCAAATGGTCAGAAATGAAACAGAGACAGGCAAGGACGTCACAGAGCCTCAGATTCCCGGGTTTACGGAGCGGCACAGAGGGGCAGGGCAGTCCCCAAGTACTCTAAGTGACATTAAAACCCAGACCTGAAGAAGCAAGAGCTAAAGAGGATCAAGCTGGAAAAGAAAGGGATGTGAGATGGTGTAAAACTGCAGCCCAGAGAAAGGGAGAGACCCAGAGCGCTGTGAAGGCGGGCAGGGGCAGGGAGGCAGGATCTCACCCTGAGTGCAAGGGGAAGTTGAGGAAAACAGAGGGTCGATATGATAAGGACTTTTTAAACATCCAGGCTGGCTGCTTTAAGGAAGCGGGGGATGGGACAGGTGAAGCCTGGAAGCAGAGAGGTCAAGTACGATTTATTCTGGAGTTCGGGCCCTCCGTAAGGTCAGGAGACAAACGCTGCAAGGCGTGTTTTGGAGGTACTGTGTGGACAGTCTGTGGAGGACAGCAGGTGCTCCAGGCAAGAGGGCTGCCCAAGCGAAGACAAAGCTGGGGCAGGGTGTGAAGGAGTGGACGACAGGTAGATGGACAGGCAGACTGTAAACCCACCAAGTCAGGCACATCTGGATTCAAGTCCAAACACTCCGGCCTCCGTATCTACTCGGGACACTGAGCCTATCGCTGCTGACCTCGCAAGGAGGCCGTGTGGATTACATGGAATCTGTCAAGTGCTTCACGCAAAGGGTGACCTACAGCAAGTGCCCCAAACGGTAGTAACTACCTCCCAGGACTGTTCACATTACAGTTGTTACAGAAGACTGACACAGCGTCTGCTACCCAAACGCAAACTGCGCAGTCCTTTTGCAGGCAGTGGTAGTTTAATACTGGACGTGTTCTTTTAGCACGCCAGATTTGTTGTCTTTAACCTCAGCAGCAAAAATACCGAGTTCTGGCTGTACCGTCTTTCAACAACCTGTGTTCTGGCCGGTCATGACCAACGTCTCTTCCTCCTAATCATGACAACAACAGGCAAATCCACTGTGGAAACTGCTTTTCCTCTACTCCCAGTCCAGAGGTGGCCCCTGTGCCAGGCTGGCCAATGACACAAGGCCCCATGACTCACGCTGGGCTCCTAGAGCCAGCCCTCAGACTTAGTTGCTCAGCTTGTAAATGGTAACCTCGGGGTTGCTGGTGGCTATTTTTGCCATCACGAGGTAAGCACCTGTCTGGAAACGAAGTCAACAGGGGAGAAGGCAGAGGTGTCCGTGCAGTGGAATGGGAGACTCCTGCCAGTGCTTGCAGCAGCTGTTCCAGGAGAAGCACTCTTTCTGGACTTAGTTTTCTGTCACAGCCAAAAACGTCTGATCACCATGACCCAAAGCACGAACATTTTTTAATTACACCAAGTCATTAAAAGCACTCTCTGAAATTGCATGCTGCCAAACCACCATCACTGGTTGAGGTTTTTGCAAGTGAAAAAGGGGGTCAGCAATCCAGCGTAGCAGGTTAAGCCACCTCCTTCCGTGCTGGCCTCCCATATGGGCACCAGTGCAAGTCCTGGCTGCCCCAGTTCTGATCCAGCTCCCTGCAAATGTGCCCGAGACAGCAGCAGCAGATGGTTCAAGTTCTGAGGCCTCTGTACCGGTGCAGGAGACCGGGATGAAACTCCTGGCTTCAGCCTGGCCAAGCTCCAGCTGTTGCAGCATTTGGGGAATGAACCAGTGGATGGAATATCTCTAACTCTGCCTTTCAAACAAATAAAGTAAAAAATCAGCGGCATTGGGGCCGGCGCTGTGGGGCAGCGGGTTAACGCCCTGGCCTGAAGTGCTGGCATCTCAAATGGGCGCCAGTTCTAGTCTCAGCTGCTCCTCTTCCGATCCAGCTCTCTGCTATGGCCTGGGCAGGCAGTGGAAGATGGCCCAAGTCCTTGGGCCCCTGCACCCGCGTGAGAGACCCGGAAGAAGCTCCTGGCTTCTGGCTTCAGATCCACACAGCTCCGGCCATTGCAGCCAATTAGGGAGTGAACCATCGGATGGAAGACCTCTCTCTCTCCCCCTGCCTCTCTTCTAACTCTCTGACTTTCGAATAAATAAATAATCTTTTAAAAAATCAGTGTCATTAATGTATACTAGCAATAAACAAGAAATTTTAAAGTTTTTAAAAAGTGAAAAAAATCAGATTTAATTGTTCTATATTTTCTTGTTCTGTCTATTTTGTCCCATTACTTAAGTTTTTTCAAAACAGTTTTATAGCTTATAAAACTGGTTGTTCAAACCTCAGGAGCAATATGGATTCAAACATCAATTAAACTGAGCAGAGCTTGTCTTGAAGAGCTAAACCTTAATAATAACTTGGTTTTTTTTTTTTTTGTCAGTTTAATTCTAAAAAGATGGAAATGTTTAAAAAGATACAGAAAGGACAAAGCATAGATGCCAGATTTGTCCAATTTCTTGCCCTACATGCCTTAAAAATATTTATAAAAATAAGTAGCATTCTATCTTCCCATAGGAGTGCTGTCTTTGGCTGAACACCTAATTCTAATTTTGACTTTACTGTCTCTCATATTAGTAGAGGAAATTACAGCTGAGCAACCTGGTGAGGGAGACAGAGGCAGACAGAGACCATTAAGTGAGTGCGTCAGAATGACACGGCCTGGGACCCCGTCTCCGCTCTGCCTCCCACTGGTTTACAGCCTTGGGAAAGTCTTCCTGAGCAGTACCTGAAGGACCTGTTGCAAAGATTAAAGGAGCTCACGGGTGGAGATGCCCCAGATGCTGCCGCCTCCTTCCCCACCGTGCCCAGTATCGGGATCGAGTCAGTCACAGGCCACACGCATGCTCTCTCCCTCTCCATTCAACTCCTGCGTCCACCAGCAGCTACTGCGCACCTTCGGTGCTTCCCTGAGGGCAGCCCTCTGCACGATCATAGGGGTAGGGCAGAGAGGCCTTGGGCCTTTGCCTTGAAATAGGGGACCATGTCAGATACACGTGTTCCGATCAGACTGCCTCAGTCCTCTGCTTCTGACAGCAAGGAGAGGACACTGCACCTGACACCGTGGGACAGGCAGTCAGTACTTCTCCACTTTACGACTTCAGGAACAAGAAAGTAAGATGGTTTGTCTCCTTCTTCAAACTGTAATATTTTAAATAGAATGACTTAAATGGACCTTTTTTCCTTTTAAGATTCCACACAGGGCCGGCACTGCAGCTCACTAGGCTAATCCTCCGCCTTGTGGCGCCGGCACACCGGGTTCTAGTCCCGGTCGGGGCGCCGGATTCTGTCCCGGCTGCCCCTCTTCCAGGCCAGCTCTCTGCTGTGGCCCGGGAGTGCAGTGGAGGATGGCCCAAGTGCTTGGGCCCTGCACCCCATGGGAGCCCAGGAGAAGCACCTGGCTCCTGGCTTCAGATCAGCGCAGTGCGCTGGCCGCAGCGCCGGCCGCGGCAGCCATTGGAAGGTAAACCAACAGCAAAAGGAAGACCTTTCTCTCTGTATCTCTCTCTCATGGTCCACTCTGCCTGTCTAAAAAAAAAAAAAAGATTCCACATTTACTTGGTTAGCACTAAAATCAGGCTCTCTTTTGGAAACTTCTATCAAGAGCAGAAAACAAGTAATTGAAGTCTGGATTACTTTATGGAAATATAACAAGCAATAATAATTCAAATGATTTTAAGTGCAGAAAACAGAATTATTTTAAATACACACACACACACGTTATGGTTTGAATTGTGTCCCCTGTCCCCCCCAAAAGAGATATATCCAGGTCCTAATTTTTCTACCTGTGAACATGACCTGGTTTGCAAACAGGGTCTTTGCAGATGCAATCAAATTAAGAGGAGGGGACTGTGAATTAGGACAGGCCCTAATCCAATACCTGGTGTCCTCCTAAGGATGGAATTTGGACAAAGACACAGGGGGAACTGTGAGCACAGGAGGCACTGCAGCCTGAGGACAGAGAAACAGAAAAGCACACAGGGCACAACACCAAGGTCTTGCTCGGGTGCTTGGAAGAATCACAGAGGAAACGATTCCAGGAAGACAGCGCAGGACTACTGTGGGTGCCTTAAATGCTGTGCCAACATATATCCATATTTTGTTCAAGTAATATGTGAATTCT